CCAGCTTGCAGGGCTTTGGCCACGTTGGGAAGGCGTTCATTGATCTCGGAGTTGAGTGTCATGACCAGATTGACGTGGTTGTGGGTTCCTGTCAAAATTGCAGCACGCGACGGCGTACAAATACTGTTCGTTACATAACAATGATTGAATAGCATGCCCTCTTTGGCAATTCTGTCAAGATTCGGGGTGTGGTTGATGCCAGCGCCGTAGGCGGAGATGGACTTTGAGGCGTGATCGTCCGCCATCATGAAGATGATGTTTGGGCGGTCTTGTGTCGCCATCTTCGGTATAATACTGAGAAAGCTTTTAACGCGCGCTCACTTTCGTAATCTCTGTCAGGATGGTTTGAATAACTTCGATAATCATAAATAAAGGAATGGTGGAAGAAGGGAGATGTCATGCTAGGGCACCACGCGTCTCTTAAACGCGTGATTAGCCGTTATGCGGACAAGCATAAGCCGCAACTGGCTCGAAGAAACTCGGGAATGCATCCTGCACTGTCTCATCGGTAATGCAAACTGATAGTAGCTTGGGCGCAAGAGAGCAGACGGGCTGAGGAGACACGCGATGCGGAGGTCTGAGTGGAGCGATCCCACGCTACGGGTGTCGGGCTCGTCCAAATCTGGTAACCGATGCCTGTCGGTGGCTCAACCAAGTGAGAACTCGTCCGACAAGACTTTGGCGCGTACCACATGATCTTGAGAAAGTACCGCGACTCATGTGGTATCGGATATCGTCATTATGGCTAGAAGCACGACTTGATCGCTGCTTAGGCGCGACCAACCGGAGCTGCAAACGGCCGACAATCCTAGGTGGCTTAATGAAATCCTGCAGGACATCTTTGCATCCCCAGATTTTGCCCCAGCTTCCATTACCCGCTTGCCGAAGAAGGCCCAATGAGGCTTGACCCAGTGCTGTATATAAGGTTGACTAGAAGTGATCCATGCAGATATAACGCAGTTCAAACGCTGCGGAAATCATATTTCATTCCTGCCCAGACAAGAACGAAGTACATTGACAGACTCTGATATTATGGCACCAGATACTTCACAAGAAGAAAAGAACACCATGACCACGATGGAAGCTATGGAACCAGATAAAGACGTTACAGGGTATGAAGACGAAGCTGTCCGAGGCACAGAACAGGAGAAGACAATGCCTCTGAAGGCTGCCTTCAAGTATTATCGAAAAGCCGTGTTTTGGTCTATTACTATCTGTGAGTAAGCGGGGTTGTGATCTTGTAACTGTCACTTACGTTGTCAATAGCTATGGCCACCATCATGGAGTCTTACGACATGCAGCTCATCAGCTCCTTCTACGCATTTCCCCAGTTTAATCGAAAGTACGGTAAACAACTGCCAAACGGTACATGGCAGGTTGATGCAGACTGGCAGCTGGGTCTAAGTCTAGCATCACTGATCGGTCTCATCTTTGGCGTGTTTGCCAGTGGATACCTTGGTGATCGCTACGGACCCCGATATGTCATGATTGCAGCGCATTGCTTCCTGGCTGGATTTGTCGCTATAATCTTTACGGCGCAAAGCGTTGAGATACTGTTTGCAGGCGAGTTGTTATGGTATTTGATGGCACCCAAAAATGATGTCTGGAAAACTCTAACAAGCGTAGTGCGTGTACCTGGGGCCTCTTCGCTGCAGCAACACCGACATACGCCGCTGAGATCGTCCCTATGGCACTAAGAGGATACCTCACGACATACGTCAATCTTTGCTGGGTCATCGGACGAATCCTTGCGACCGGTGTCCTACGAGGCATGTTACCGGTGCAGTCGGAGTGGTCTTTCAGAGTCCCGTTCGCGCTCCAGTGGATGTGGCCACCAGTGTTGATTTTTGCCACCTGGTTCTCACCAGAGAGCCCTTGGTGGCTCGTTCGCAAAGGGCGTATCGATGAAGCAAGGAAGACGCTGGACCGCCTGGTAAGCGCACCTTCTGGGATAGTTGACAACGACCATCGTCTTGCCATGATGCAGCATACCGTTGCACTGGAGCGTAAATTGAAGGTTGGTGGATCTTTCCTGGATTGCTTCAAGGGCACGAATCTGCGTAGGACAGAGATTGCAATGCTCTCTTGGGGCGGACAAATACTTCCTGGCTTCATCATCCAGGGATACACGACCTACTTCTTCACCCTCGCCGGACTCGCTCCAAGCGACTCTTTCAATCTTACGATGGGTGTCTTTGGTATGGCTTTTGTTGGTACATGCGCGTCGTGGTTCTTGCAGCCTCGGATGGGGCGGCGCACCATCTACATTGCAGGTTTAGCCATCATGCTGCCGATCATGTGGATTGTTGCTTTTCTCGAGTTCGCGCCAAACGCAGGCAGCAACTCCAGCATCAAATGGGCACAATCATCCATATTGATGATTTGGTTCTTCACCTACGGTAAGTATAAGCTCCTGATTCCGAATACTTGTCAGAGCTAACGCTGTGCTAGGCATAACGATTGGTCCAATTCCTTATGCTATCGCCGCTGAAGTCGGCGCAGTACAGTTGCGCTATAAGACAATCGCTCTTGGTCGTAACATGTACTACTTCCTTTCCATCATCAACGTCGTTATCTCGCCGTACATGCTCAACCCGAGCAAGTGGGATCTTAAGGGGAAGGCAGCGTTTCCTGCTGCTATATTGAACGTATGTCTGTTGATTTGGGCCTACTATAGGCTACCAGAAACAAAGGGCATGACACCGGAGACCCTAGATCATCTGTTTCACGAGAAGATCAGCGCTCGGAAGTTCAAAGCAGAGGCATCCAGGTTCCAATAAACTATCATGGAGCGCAGAGTCGCTTGAGTTCGAGAACATTCAGGCGCGAGGATATGAAGTCCATGTAACAGTCCAGTAGATTGCATCCATCTGCGGTATATCAGTCCACAGCCATGAGGTGATTAGAAATAGAAAAGTATTACCGTTACATTCATGAATTGGTTCCGGTTAATGACAAACCTGAGAGTGAGCAGACAGTCCCGGGTTGTACTTCCAAGATCCACGGACGCGCTCGCCCTGGTTGTGCCTCTCAAGGATTGAGAGGATTGGTGCCACTGACAGCTGTCCGGGTCGCACTTGATGAGTGGCAATTGCGGTGGGGTGATGATTCGCTAATGGTCGTTCAGAACTATACAAATCATGGTGAATGGAAAAAAGGCGACGAGTTTTGGTGAGCTTGGCTGTCGACTATGTGGTAGAATGGATGGGATTGAACCTTGCAGACGTCAAAGTCGTCGGGCTTGCTACAGACTGTGTAGTTCGCTCCAGCCATGTGGCCAATCGACGCTCGTAGATGCCGACAGCCGGACGCTAATTCCTAGTTCGGCTTCATCCACTCTTCGCCATATGCCCCCTGTTTAGACACATCCAGCACGACCCGTAGGCCCGTACCGGGTCTCAGTAACCGATGGTCTTGAGAGTATGATCACTGTCCGAAACTGTTGTGTTGCTACCATGTGGTGGTGGCTAGGATCTTTGGCGGCGACAACTCGCTCGGAAATTTGATGATAACGAAAGACCTGGTCCCACCTAGCAAACCTGTTCTGGCTGCAAAGAACGTCCAAAATGGTAGCCTGCGCTCAGTGTAGGCAAAGAAAGGTAATGATCCTCGACTGCCTATACAGTAAATGCTTACCTCAGGTTACAGGTTCGATGTGAAGGCGGCCCAGTTAGTTGCGATGCATGTAAGCGACTGGGGTTTCAATGCTCCTTGGGCCTTGCTACCACCCCAATCGCCGACGTTGGCAACCTACCGGTGGCATCTCGAAAGCGAGGCACGCGAGCATGTGATGCATGTCGTTCTCAGAGATCGCGATGCACAGGTGAAACTCCTAGCTGTCGCCGCTGTCGAGAGCTCAACATTCCATGCAACTATACGCTTTCGGTTCGCCAATACCGCGCTGGAGAACGTCACAAAAGAAGTCTGGTTTCTGTCGAACAAATTATTAACCAATCGGGAGGGGATGATGTCGGCAGGGCAACGCACGGCACGCCGACAACCGGGAGTGAGGTCACAGCGAGTCCAGATACTTCTGCCACTGAACATATTGACAAGTACATGAACTCACTCAATTGAGACTATTATAGCTAATGAACCCAGAATTCTTGGGTGCGATCGAGCCGTCATCCGGCAACATATTGACGCTTATTACGACTACATCTATCCAGTTCCAATTTTCAGCTTCTTGCATCGAGCAGAATTCTTGGGACAGTACACGGCTGGCATTGTTTCACCAGCGCTGCTTCTTGCCGTATGTGGTGTGTCATCGCGCTTCCTGCCATCTCCTAGGGAACGAGCCGGCATGATCAAATCATGGATCGAGCAGGCTGAGACGATCATATTCCAGAATATGGGAAAAATGAATGTTGCTGATGTTCAGGCGTTAATGCTCCTTGAGCTGCATTGCATGTATAATCACCAGAACGGCAAAAGTTTCACTTATATATCATTGGCAGTCAGGATGGCTTACTTACTCAAGCTACACAAAGAGAACAGCCAGCTGCCATTTGTTGAACAGGAATCTCGACGGAGGCTCCTGTGGTGCATGTTTGCATTGGATAGACTCCATGCTGGTGGTGTTCCAGTAAGTCCACGCCCAAGACGTCAATCTTCAGCGTTATCCGCTTGAAACTCTTCTATAAAGAGAGGTTGGCGGATTTTGCATGACTTCGCTCACTTGATGCTGAATCAGTGTTGATTTGATAGCAGGAATACATCCTTCTGCCCGCGACCTCAGTACATGTACAACTTCCGTGCCCAGAACACTTTTTCCAAATCGACACTCCTGTCGCGACACCACACATCCATGAAACCCAAGCGGACAACTCCAAGCTTACACCCGCGGCGTTTTTGCTGCGTATCTTCAACGCCCGCAACCATGTACTCCAGTAAAGCTACCCGACTATGGCCCTGTGTCGAGATTTCACTAACATGGCAGGTATACGAAACAACTCCTGGACGCTTCACTTAGCCCGGAGACTTCTCTAGCACAATTCCAAATGCTTGAAGGAGAGCTTAGGGAGATACACGAGTCTTTGCCCGCAGAGCTTGTGTTCAGCACACGTGCCTATCAACTCCGGACGTTCTCTCCCGAGCGCACGACTTTTACTATTTTACATCTTTACTTCCACCACTGTCATTGCGAACTTTATCGGTTGCTCAATCCAGGATACCGCGAGGCTCTTCCGCAATCGGTTATCTACTCCAGTTCACCCGAACTCGTTGCATACGCGCAGTCGAAATGCCTCGAGCACGCAATCTCCATAGGCGAGATCGTTGCATCAACCTACGGTCTGGTGGAGATCAGTCCTTATGTTAGCGATACATCTTGCTTCGTTATCTTGTATCAGGCCTCGTGTGCTATACTCTACGCATGCCACCGTGACAGTCCTGCTTATGTCATGAAAGCCGAAACCGCACGGCGATACCTAGTCGCATTCATCGCGACATTGCAAAGTCTACTCTCTTACTTCCCAAGGTATGCTATATACGTCAAAGACATCCGTAATATGCTTCGTAGCATTGACGAGCCGAATGTACCGCTCCCAGCTCAGAAGGCGTCAAATGAGGTGGACTTCCGCGCACGTATAGTACCTAGCGAAGAGAATTCGGATGAGGACAATTTGGTCAGCGAGATTGCGGGCTCTACTTCTAATGTCAGGGACGATACAGCGCATTCTACGTCTCAGACCGCTGATGTGCCCGTTGGATCACTGCCAGAACTCGTGGAAATGTCGCTTCATACACCATCCACCCTGGAAGGACAGGATCATTTGTTCGCTGATTTGGAGACATCTCAGTACAACATGGACCTTACAATGGATCTTGATCAGGGCTTGCTGTGGGATTGGGCAGATGCTTTGGGATCAGGCTTCAGCATATGAGTTCGATTGGTGAAAGCTCGTCTCAAGCTGTTGCGGCACTCCAAGAATACACCGTTCATTGAATGACATGTGTGTGCGTTCATTGGTGGAATACGCTGTATAACTTCCACCAACAGTTCATCATTCGAAATTATCTACACCTGAAGTTCTACCAAGTCAATGCATAACCTTACATTCGATTACAACTAACCACAGCACTGGCTGTACAGCTCTTCCACAGGCATCAACTTTGAAATTAAGCGTCTTCCCCGTCGCCACACCAAAATTGTCGATTACATCGAATGGGTGGCTCACATTCGCCTATACATGAACAACTTCGAACCGTAAGCACAACACCAACGATCACTGGCGAAGGGTGAGACCCAATCATATTTCCCCCACGTCAACGGGGTGCTTCGCGAAGGAAGAAGAAATCACGTTTCTTTATGCCACGAGCGAGGGTCCCATCTGTCGACGCAGGATCACTAGAGTATATGGGATCGACGAAGCAAGCATAATTGCAGCAGGTTGATGAAATTTACCAGTTCCTAGGAAGTTTCATGTGGCTACAAAAAACACATATTATTACCTAGTACGAGGATTTTCGCTTGCTAGACGAAGATGAGCTTGAGCCACTTGACGTGGGTCTGTTGCCAGCAACCTCGGCCTCGTCCTTCTTACTCCGGACGACACGCTCACACCAGGAGCACCAGCTTCTGAGCTCACCTTTGACCTCGCGCTCGAGATATTGGATCGACTTGGTCTTCTCATCTTCGTATAGCTTGACACACTCTCCAACGCGCACCTGTTTCTTGTGTTTGACTTTTAGTACCCCGCCAATGCCTTCAATCTCCTGAGTGAGGTAGCAAGAACCCCTCCAGCGTTCGGGCGACTCTGGAGTTTGCGATCTCTCGATAGTGTCCAAGAGGTTCTGCTCGCAGGTCTCGTGCTCGACAATACGTGAACCCAAGCACGCACTGCCTCGCCCACACTCTACGCCCTCGATACCCTCGCCAAACCCAACGCCTAAGCCGCCCAGCATGCGAGTGTACGTCGTGCGGTAGCTCCAACCGCGGACATAGTGGGTGTCTGCATTTCGCAGGTCCTTGCCACATGGCGCGCAAAGCCAGACCACATTGTCGCAATTGCAGGGCGTACGTTCGAAAGCTGGGGCTGTGAAGGCTCTCGGTTCGTCACCGTCAAAGAGCACTGGATGTGTGTCGGGGGACCCAGGTGGCGACGACGACGACATTGACGACGTGCGCTGCTTTTGTACAGCCATCAGCAGCGGGAGGGGCGCCTTGGCGCATGTCCGGCATAGTCGACGATGGCGCGCGCGAAGTGTAGGCGTTGGTGGAGGTTTCATTGTGCAGTTCTACGAGGCCCGTTAGCTTCAAGCCTCTCCCTGTATGTTCGAGCGTCATACTCGGCAAACGATATCTCCACACCGCTGGCAGTCGCCCACCATGTCGCGTGCGCACTTCCCGACGCGACCAGTCGTCAGTCTATTCTCCAGGACCATACCGTGTCGCCCCTCTTGCAGTCGCGACTCCAGCTTCTCGCCGAGTTCGCCGTCTTCGTTCTCGCAATGAAGTGTGTGCTTGACAAGTTGGCTGCGATACTCGAGTAGGTTGGCGCGGAACTGCCTGCAAGTGCGCGAGAGGTCATGCAGCGTGTTGAGGTCGAGCTGAGCGGCGAGCTGGCTGACTATTCTGTGTGGTTAATGTGGTTAGCATACATCAAGGCGTGGAGTCAAGTCCATGCTATGGCTGGAGCTCACGAACGGATAGCAGCTCAGTGCCTGGCTGAATCCATTGATATTCGGGTTCGGCCTCTCGTAGCCCGCCGTCACGCTCCCTTCTGTCGGCGCATCAAGAGAGTGATACAACGGCTTAGCGTTAAACCGGCCAGAAGACGGGTGGGGATTCTCTAATGAGGTCGGTTCATCGTCGTCCAGATCAACTAAAACCACCATCGTGGGCAGCCGCAGAACGAGTGTGCAGCATCGAAGCCACACAAGGCTTGTATGTTCAAAAATGAGAGTGTTGATGGATAGAGCGATGCCGGAGTCATGACGAACTGGAGACACGCTCCGTCGCGTTGGTGGGGCGCTTGGCGTTACGCGGCTTTGCTTCCGTTCCACAGATACGCGTCTTTCCCTCATAGTGACGCTCGCAACTGTGGTACCTCAGAATCACGAGTTCATCACCATCAGGTGTGCTTGTTTGCTTACGGATGTTCCAGACTTCACGCAAAGCGGTGCTGGCGCGCTGAAAAACTTAGTAACGAGCCATACAGGGCTTTAAAGATGCAGAGCAGCCGTGAATGGGCAATATGTTCATATAAAACCACTTGAGCTCTAGATTTGAACTCTTTCTAACTCTAGGACGAGCCGAAGGTGAATTCGGGAATTTCAATGTCTGTGATTGTCCATGTCACACCACCATCACTTGTCGACATCTCGCCAGTGACACCTTGAGCTTTTCCCATGGTCTGGTCGTAGTTGGGATCCGCCTTGTCCAGTGTGATTGTAGTATCAATCCATTTGTGTGCCGCAACGGTACCGCAGTCCTCCGCAGCACACTCGACAGCGCTGCCCCATCCCATAGCCTGGCCGTCGTCGGTTGACAGCGTGGACACTTGTCGGCCATTAACCGAAACAATCTGTGTATAGTTGCCGGTTGCGTCGTCAAACTTGTCTGTAATACATCATCAGTGACTGGAAAGCAGAATGAAAAACAACCCTAACTACTCACAGTACATGGTAATCTTGTCGGCCTCTTGTGCCCTCTCTCCTTTCGCCTGAATCGGCATTTGAGTGGTCTCAGATGTGCTCACGAGCGTGTAGGCGTATATGTCCCAGTCATTTGCGTTGACATTGTCCGCGATGGATTGGATTAGGTCACCATTCGAAGTTCCCATTCCAACCCATAGTGCGGTATCACCTGACGATCCAGTTGGAGCCTTCGGGAGTACGAGTGTCGAGTTGGCTTCACGGATCCAAGAGCCAGCACCAACAGGGCCGGTGCTAAAGGCTGGTCCGAATGCCGCGTTCACCGAAGATGTGAGCACAGCAGTGGTGAGGACGGAGAGAATTTGGCATGAAGATGGCATCTTGATTTGTTATTTGTAGCGAGTGACGTATCGTGTGTTGTGAAAGTATTGCTTAGTGGTGTGGTGGTACAGGTAGCAAGAGAGTGATCACCCTTGAAGCTTACACATATCCAACCTTTTATGGTCTTAAAACAATTCTCAAAACTGGTAGAGGTGGAGTTGGTAGACAGGCCTCTTGTTCCTGTCATACGAAATCCATCGTACCCTCGAACATCGGTGCATTGCATCCGACCAGACTTTGAGCCCTCAGACCATTCTTCGAAACTCGAGCTCGGAATATTTAGTAAATCCCCGATGCATTGGTTGAGTTCGTGTATATGTGGGGCGTTTTTACACAGTCACGCATCGTCTCAGAGGTGGAAATTCTCGCGCAAGCTCACTCCGACCCTGGTATCAATGTCGTGTGTTTCACGACTGGGACTTGCTGTTGGTCTGTGGGAGTGGGTCGTTCGTTTCAACTACCGACGAACCTTGCGTTGCGTCATAGCCAAAAAACCACGCTCCGAGGCCCTCGATGTGGCTTCAATCCACCGTCTACCTTTCTAGGGTTGGACGGTCACTGTCCTTCCCGCAGGCATTCTCTCGTTCTCGTGGTCGCGGTCATCATGCCGCATTTGGGCCACAGCATCATGGATTGCGTCTCCATGTCTTCGCATGAACTTGTAATCCAAAGGAAACTTGGGCTTTCGTATGCTTTTAGGATTTCCCGACTTAGACGAGTCAGTGTAGTTTCGGTCTGATGTAGATTAGCATCGCAGGTCGTAATTTAGCTTTCTCGGTGCTTGATTACTGAGATATCACACCATGCTCTTCAACAGACTCTCCTGTCTTGATGCATGCTATGCAAAACGGCCTGAGCGACTGGAGTGTTTTTCAATCACGACAATCTAGCGTTCCGCATCCATAGTATTTCGCAGCCTGGTATTACATTGCTGGATCTGCTGTTAGAAGATTTCTCCCTGCTACCGACAGTTAATCAAGCGCTTGAATTGTTGATCTTCCGCAATTGTAGCTCGAAGGGCGTGGTCCGTAGTAGACATCCGTTCAGCGTTGCTTGAGTGCAAGATATACAGCTCTAACCTCCGGCGGCTGGGCATCACGGAGAGTGCGATGTTGTTGCACTGATAAGTAAACGAGAAGATCTGGATGCTAGTCATTGGCATGGCGATGTAACAGTAGATTGTTGAGTGAAAGAAGCAAGAATGGTGCCGGCTGCGGGAAGCGCCTTGACACGAACCGGGAAGAACGCGACGCGTCTCGATATTCCCCGCCTGGTATGCATGCATGCTTGTGGGCAAACCACCGCAGCGACACAACGCTCTTCCGGGAAGCAGCTTATGTTGATGGCTATGCCTGCATCAATATTGTTCCAGCTCTTGCAGCCCCTCAGGCTGCGGTGGCTCGGCTTCGGCTCTCCACGGTGCTGGCCGAATCGGGAGTCTGCGATAACAAGTAATGACGACACAGCTATCGCGCTCATCCAATCCCGAACACATCAGAAGATGCTATCATGAGAATCCTGCGATACGATATACTGCTTTACGGTACTAGTCTCGCGGGCCTGAAACCCCTTCTATCCATAGTACGCGGGCTGTATCCGGACGCTAATGCAACGACCCAATACAGGCGAACATCGCATGCAGCAGCCTGACCTAGGCGCAATCTTTTACATAAGCAATGTGTACAATACAGCGATGCGAATTGTTCCGTCTTACTCACGGCCAGGAAACACCACAAAACTTCAGGCCTCCATCAGCTTACAGCCCATGCCAGGCAGGTATTGACCACTGCTTTTATGAAGACCGGTCAGCATCAGTAGCAAAGCATAGCAACAACGTAATCCCTTGTCCAGAAATCGCTTCGAACTTCAACGACGCCTGAAAATATGACTACATTCCTCCTCCGCGACATCCGCATCTTTACTGGCGAAGAGACCATCGACGAAGGGTTCGTTCATGTACAAAATGGCAAGATCAAGGCCCTCGGTCGGATGAGTGATGCGCCGCTCGATCCAGTAAAAACCTACTCCAAACCAGGACATACTGTTCTTCCAGGGTTGATTGACTGTCACATCCATGCAGACAAGGCCGATCCAGAAGCCCTGCCTCAAGCTCTACGCTTTGGTGTGACTACCGTGTGCGACATGCACAACGAGTTAGAGAACGTACAAAAGCTGAAGAAGCAGACCATGGAACCCGACACCGCTTCGTACAAGACGGCAGGCCAGGCTGCTACTATTGAGAATGGCTGGCCTATACCTGTCATCACAGCCCATGACAAGACTCCAGAGACCGCAGCGGCGATTGCGAAATGGCCAAAACTGACGGACCGGGATAGTGTGGTGGAGTATCTAGAATGGACTGGGAGGGAGATGCAACCAGATTACATCAAACTCATGCACGAGAGCGGAACTGCCATGGGTCAGAACTTTAGTTATCCTTCGGTCGAACTGCAAAGTACGATCATTTCAGAGGCCAAAAAGCGGGGATACTTGACCGTTGCACATGCTCTATCCATGCAAGATACACTCGATGTTCTCAATGCAGGTGTCGACGGTCTCACACATACGTTCCTCGACCAGCTGCCGACCCAAGAGCTAGTAGATGCATACAAAAGAAACAACGCATGGGTCAACCCGACACTTGCTGCGATAGGCAGTCTGACGACGGAGGGGAAAGAGCTGCAGCATCGATTTGCACATGATCCCAGGGTAGAAGGATTGATCAACGAAGATCGTGTAGGCAACATGTGCAGGTGCATGGGCTTTGCTGCTGGGAAAGGGAAAGTGGAGATCGCATATCAAGGCGTGAAAAGATTGAGAGAAGCGGGGGTCGACATTGTGTGGTAAGTGATACTTTTATACCCAGAAGTTCAAATTGCTCACAAGATTTAGTGGAAGTGATTCCGCAGGTCCTGCAGTAGGGACGGCATTTGGCCTGTCGATGCATCACGAATTGTACCTTCTCGTAAACAAGGTTGACATGACACCTGCCGAGGCTTTGCGCTCGGCCACAAGCCTGATCGCCAAACGCTTCAAATTCACGGATCGTGGTCGCCTGGCTGAGGGGCTGAACGCAGATTTGTTACTGGTAGAAGGAAACCCACTTGAAGACATTGATGCGACTCTAAATATCCGCGGTGTTTGGCGGGAAGGCAGTCTTTGTAGCACGTATCTTGCAAAGCTTGAAGCTGGTGTCGAGCCCCTGATGGGTTGATTGGGCAAACCAGTGTTTACTGTTGCAGGGCTTGGTTTTACGCTATATAGTCGCTCTGCAAACCGAGTTATACTTCCATGTATTTCAGTTATGTCTAAGAGACAAAGCTACGAACGTACTGTATGTAGTGTCCACAATTTAACTCTATATGATTGCTGAACGCTTGAAGACAAAACAAAGCCATCTATGAGTGTCACTCTAGAAGATACGCGATGTTCTCAATATGCAGGAGCGTTGATTACGAAGCACGTTTGGGCGTCGCGCTTCAGGTGCCGGACAAAATTCCGTCTTTTATCCCCGTGCCGTCCGTCAGCGTCATCGTTGTCGGCAGTCTGACTTCTCCATCAACGTGTAGGAGGCAACTCCTGGCATCAAGATACTCCCTCAAGAAGATCGCGAAGATGTCTCCATCTGTAAGATTGAGTTCCCGTCTCTAAGCGTTGCAGTTACCATGACGACCCCAGGGATTGTACTAGACTAGCCCTGACCGCTAACACTTGCAAGAGCACCAGCCATGGTTTTGCTGAGAAAGACGGCCAATTTCGTCGGAAACCCTCAGCGTTCCGCAGCCTCATCTCTTCTGATCCAAACTCGGAGTTCCCAGCAGAGAAAGATCGATATGCCCTTTACATCCACATGGGCTGTCCTTGGGCGCATCGCACGAACTTGGTGCGCAGTTTGAAAGGACTTGAGCAGGTTGTGCAGTTGATTGTGTGGGATACCTCCCTGGTACATGAGAAGAAGGGATGGGGTATGTCCGGCAAACCCGGGTTCGAGAAAGAGCCACTCTATGGTTATACGAACTTGAGGCAGCTGTACGAAAGGGCCAATCCGGACTACGAAGGGCGTTACCTCGTCCCAACGCTGTGGGATAAGAAAAGACGTGAGATTCAAGGGTTCCGATGCAAGATCAATATGCACTGACTTGCTTGCAGAAACAATTGTAAACAACGAGTCTAGTGAGATCATCCGGATGTTTTATACCGAGTTCGATGCGCTCATCCCAGAACATCTCCGAGAGTCTAGTAAGGGCGACAAAGCTATCTTGCCAGACCACTTGCGCAAGGATATCGACGCCATGAACGAGTGGGTGTACGATACGATTAACAATGGCGTAAGCAGAATCCCTGTACGAACTGCATGTGAAACATACACTGAAATCATGAATCTACATTAGGTATATAAGACTGGTTTTGCGCAGAGTCAGGAGGCATACGAAGAGCACGTCTACCCCGTTTTCGAGTCTCTCGATCGCTTGGAGGAACACCTTTGCCAATCAGGCCACGGGCCGTATTTGTTCGGCGATCACATCACTGAGGCAGATATCAGGTTGTATCCCACACTCATCAGATTCGATGTTGCATACTTCACAATCTTCAAATGCAACCTAAAGATGATCCGGTATGAATACCCGCAGCTCCACGATTGGCTGCGCAGGTTGTACTGGGATGAGAGTGAAGCGACAAACTACGGTGCTTTCAAGAAGACAGTTGAATTCCAAGCGGTGTGTATATAGAAAAAAAAGAGAGGTACTTGTTGCTAACTCACTTCTAGTACAAGGAGGGATACTCGAATGCTACGAAGGCGAAGATCGTACCTGCAGGACCGAAACCTGAGATCATGCCCTTATAGATTCTTCAGCCTGCTACTACCATGGAGAATAACCAAGCAGTTTCTGCGATGGAGTACGCTGCACTGTGTTGTGGCCGAAGGTAAGATCATGCGAGCGTAAAGACCCTTCGGAGAGCGGCTGCTAGCGCTCTTACTGCTTTTGGATTAGTCTCTGACCAGCACCCCATCTCCAACCTGCCTTCTATTTCGGTCGTTCATTTCTTACACCAGACGTACAGTAACCGCGTTTTCAAACACTGTCGTGCAATGATTTCGTCACCTGTTCTGGTGATCTTTTTCCTTGCTACAGCCGGCAGACATATCTCATTACAAATGTGCACAGCACTGTGCAATTTCCTACTCATTACTCATCTCGGTGCGCGGATGCTTACCACGAACGCCGAAGCAGCGAACTGAGGATGCCTAATGTTGCACATTTGAAATCTAGTGAACTGTGCATTGGTGACCATAGTCAACGAAATTGATATATTAGATGAGACATCCCACAATCATGGCGATACCACGGCACATTCATCGGACCTCCGCATACTCTCTGGTATTCAGTACCCACTCCGATAAGCACTTGTGATCACGACTACTCCTTCATAAGACCGTCTTCCAGGTATCTGCAGTGATATTTTGACGATTCAAGATGCCTCACGCTATCGCCGACGTCGTCGATGTCTCGCCCAACCTTCACATACGTTCCAAACTGAAACCAAAGTCGCAGAGTCGCGAGGCGAGATCCCTATCAATTCAGCTAGATCGATACCAATTACACTACGAAGACTCGCAACTAGCGCAAACCATCCACCGGCAGCTGTCAGCGATGTTGAAGAATGCCCAGGGACCAATCACGAAGGTTTTATCGCTTGGTCTAGGTAGTCTTCTGGTTGCTAAGGGACAGTCAAGGAGGTTGAAGCAACTCGTCATCTTGTTAGCAATCCGAGACATCCTGCGGCAGAAACTGGACATATCGATACAAGTGTACGCCCAAGACCCAACATTCACGAGGAAAGATGAGTCGTTCTTGGAAAACTTGGGTATCCGAATCCTTCGAACGCCTTCCGGTTCGGAGCTTGGCGAGGCCTCGATTGTTCTCGATACTTCAACATTGGTATATTCACCATTCCTAACTCTGGAAGCATATGGACAGCTATTGGGAGACGAAAGGTCGGTGCAATATCTATTTGGAGATGACTTCGATGCATTGTTACATAAATGGCCAAAACAGAGTGCTGAGCGGATGGAGGTAGAAGAGATAGTGAAGAATGGCTTGGGATCATATCGGAGAAGACCAGTTATTGATGAAGATTTCTGGACGACGGAAGACAGCACGTTTCCCATGGCCATATATGAGAGATCAAGGAAGAGCAGGAAGAGAATGCAGAACGCAAATCTATGAAGAAAGACTATTCGTTAAGACACATGTCATTTGGCCTCATTACAAAATCTTGCCAAACTGGGGATCTCATTCCCTCCTCTGTAAATTGGGCTGGCGCTGCGTCTCCTGTGATATATATGGCGAGCATTTCGTAAAATGCTACAATGTTTTTTGGCGGATCGACTTGAGAGGTATACCAAGAGAGTAAGAAGGGCTGCGACGAGAAGGATCACCAGAACTGCGTATTGAGTTATCAAGCGGATCTAGAGAGGGAGAGGTATAAGCTCGAGGCACAAGCGTAGTTGGTTTGCCAAAGAGCGTCACATCATCGTAGGTCTGATGACGCGCAAGTCGATCTAGCCTGAAATCTGTTCGAGTCGAGGCGGGATATTTTTTTTGCAGAAAGGCTTTAGACTGCTCATGCCGTTGGACCAAGCCTGATCAATAGCTACGGCGTACCTGATGCAGCAATGCGTCGACTACCTTGGGCTTCCTGTCTCCACTTTGTGTTTGATGCCAAAATTCAGACCCATGGCTTGATTACACTTCAGTAGAGCTGCAGCAACGTTTGTAGTTTCTTTGCGTTGCGAGCGGATATTATCGGTATGTGATCTTGTCCGGCAATGGCCCTGCTACTGTGTCCGTCCGCTGCGACTCTATCGCATCCGCCTCGACGGGCCCTGGAATATCCTGATGTGTTTGTCCAAATACGACAGGTTGTGGCTTCGCATAGTGCTGCCTCGTTTCCTGCGCAAAGCCTGTGTTTACGTCTTCAGTGCCTTCGACCTTGCTGTCCTGTCTGCTCACAACACCATGCTCTCCGAATGCGACAGGGTCTCTGCCCACCCAGCCCGTGCTTCTCAGCTTGTCCGTTTTCTCGATGACCTTCCTGCAGACATCGCGGTGGGCTTGCTCCATCTTGCCCTTGACAAACGGCATTAGCCACCATGCGCAGCTAACTTCGACGTCTTCTACGAGCACCCATTGCGCATCGCCCACGCCCATGCCCTCGCCCTCGACCTCGCTGCCCGCCTCGCCGTTTGCAACGACTCTAAACTCGGCCCTGACTATCACGCCTGCCGCTGCATCAGCGCGCGTCTTTATGCCCTGCCTGGTGTCCTGGAAGCAACTTGGGAAGGTAATGTACTTCTTCCCATACTGCCCAATCCCGGGAAACAAGGTTATGCACTCGGTGACGTGGTATGTCGTGATGGGGTATTGGTCGGGCGGGTACCAGTACGTGTCTTTGAGGGTCGAGGGGGCAGTGCTGGGCGCTTTCTCGTGCCCGCAGGTGAGGGCTTGGAGCGTGAGGGCTGTCTCGTGGTCGTGCAACGCGGCGATGACCCAGGCGGGGGACATGTGAGGTGGGATGTGGTGCGCCACGTGTAGGTTGTGTTTTGCGCTCATTGTAGAAGCGCGTTTCTCGAGACGCAAAGAGGACGAGGTTTAGGAGACCAGAACTCGTGCTCGTCGGACTAGTAAGACTGGCGGTATAGAAAGGATGGTGTTTTCGAGACCAGCTGCGAGGTGTTGAAGATGACGATTAACGACTACGATTACTACGTGCTATACAAGGTGGGTATCAGTGTCTTCACAGGATGTCAAAGGAAGAAAATAAAAGGGAGAATATGTGCGAACCGCAAAGCTGCAGGGCGAGTAGCTGATGCATATTGCGTTGCTGACTGAGGCGCTACTATCTTCAGCGCTGGAGCTGAAACAAAAGCATGGGTGTGACGCGACAAACAGGGTCCGGCGGTAAACGTCATCATCGCGCCGCCCTACTCCGTATATGGCAAAGATCCATGTTCAAGCTCACCATCTTTCCAAAGTCGACTTTGGTAACCTATGCGTGTTGGACGCGAATCGGCCAAGATCACATAGCTGTTGAAGGTATGATTGAAAGCTAGCGATGCGTTGAGACGATTCAGAGCAACCGTGAAAAGACTGCAATATCAGGACGCACTGCGGAAAGAGTACGCTCAGACGCCTTGGTCACCCTTGGTGGCCTATATAGTATACCGAAACCCGGCCTGCCCTTCATTTTCGTCCATAGGCTCGCCGTTCGCCCTCTGTCGATCAACCACCTTGTTTCTCCTCACAAAATACGTGGTAGTGCAGCACAGCACTAACAAGATGTAGATTTGGAGGCCGGTTGTCACCCAAAGCCCAGTAATGTATGTGGGTGCCTCCGTTTGCTTGAACGTCGTCGACGCGAGAATGCCGCCAATTGCACCGAAGCCAATCTGAAGAGCGCTTCCAACGGACCGCTTACTTTGGCCTCGAATATTGTTGCTCTGATACGCAAGGATAGCCGGGACGTTGCCCTGGCAGCCACATACCCCGAGGAATGAGCCAAAGTACCTTGCCCCATTGTTTTCGGCGTATGCAACTATCATGAGACCGATGATGGCAAGGACTGATTGAGCGGCGATGACGGGAGCACGCACACGGTACTTATCCCCTAGCCATGCGAACCCGAACGCTGTGATCATCGCGAACAAACTGGGAGGTGCTGAAAGGGCGTTGGCTTGCCCAGCAGAGTAGCCCATGCCGAGGAGGATGACGGGGAGGAAGTAACTGAAGGCGTATGCGGGCATCGTCGTCGACATGAAGAGCGTGGCGTACGCCCAAAGCCTCAGGTCCTTTAGATGTTGGAAGAACTTAGCCCAGGTCAGAGGATCCGCTACTGAGTCGCCACGATCGTCTTCAATACGCTGCATGATAACAGCGGCCTCGGTGGAGGTGAGAAAACCTTTCTTCTCGGCTTTATCGGGAAAGTCCAAGATGATGAACCAGGCTGCGATTGCAACTAGACAGGTGATGATCCCTTCGATTATGAATATCCTAAAATTTGAGTATGTGAAGTCAGTACATATCTCGCATACAATTTGTACAGGGTATATATTACCATCTCCAGCCCCGAATACCACCGACACCTTCCATTTGCATGAGGCCGTATGCAAGGATGTTTGCAAGACCACCAATACCGACTGAGAAGAGATAGAAGCCACCAAGTCTGCGTGTCCTGTAAGCTACTGCTACCATGATACGGCTTGATGAGGGTCACATACCGCTTTTGTGTTTCATAGCGACGGTACCAGCAAGTGATGAGATATACACATCCGGGGAAGAAGCCCGCCTCGAACGCTCCGAGCAATACACGGCATATGGCGAGCGATATCCAACTCTCGACGAAACCCTGCCCTATCATGACAGCGCCCCACGACACAGCGATAAAGGCCAGCCAGTTGGCACTCCCAACTTTTCGAAGGACGATGTTAGACGGAAGTTCGAGCAGGAAGTACGTAGGAAAGAAGAGGACCAAGACGATGGTATATCGATCACCGATCTGGAGGTCAAGATCTGTCCCCATTCCAGCAACACGCGCATTGGAAATCTGTCAATTCTCTTCTCAGCAAAGTTTCCCTGAACACGGGGACTAGAAAAGGATTTGAACTCACGTTCGTGCGATCTATCAGCGCGATAGAGTAAAGTGCGCCCAAGATTGGTAGAAGTCTCCAATCGACTTTGCGAATCAACCTCTTCTCTTCAATCTGATCGTAAGCGTAATCCGCGGCATTGCTGTCTGTAGCTGGCGGGCTGTACGCTTCCTTGTGAACAGTGTTTTGTTTGTACTCGTCATCGCTATTCATGGTGGGCAAAGGAGTACTGGTTTAGTTTCTCCTCGAGAAGGATCAAAAAGAAAGGAGGAGATCGTCACAGGGAGACGAGCAGTTGTAGATCATTCTGGCAGTCATGCATCCACTTATATTGATAAGACGATGACGCCTACCGAGGCAAGTTCCGGATTCCAAGCAGAGCGCTGTCTTTAAAGGTCTGGAGGCTTCGTGGCTGGGCATGCCGTGTGTTCCATTCGATCGGTCGTATAGCTAACGTATATCGAGCCTAATGGTCATTTCGTAATTCAAGTACAGATCCATAGGGGTCGGATAGACGAGGATCATGGTTCAATGAGATCTGTACCAAGCTACCAAAAGATCCGGACCTGTAAGAAAAAAGCCTTGGACCAGGAGAAAAGGCCTGGAGAGGATACTGCTCCTTGTGCCAATTGACCCCGAAGTGCCAACGTTGCCTTACCTCGCGGAATTACTGTCATGCCGAGATGCCAACACCGAGAACCGTCCAATGATGATGGTAGGAGAAAATGAGCGCAGATCTCATGTCCAGTAAAAACACCGAGCAAGTCAGTGCTCAGCCTGTCTGGGCGTGCAACGGCGGGTTGGCCATTTTGCGGGGTTATTCTTGGGCCGTCTTGAGGCTCTTAGCCATGTGGTGGGGTTTCCAAGCGCACGTTTGGGGCGCGTGCCGGCGGCGGAACTATGAAATGACAGCTCTAGTATATCACATCGTGAAGATGGTGTCATTGGTGAAGAATTGTTGATAGCTAGTTAGGGAGAAAGGCGCGAACAACAACTTCGTCGAACGTCTGGGCTCGACTATCTTCAGTGCTGTTCCAATGACATTGAAGGCTTGCATGGGTGCCGCGACATGGACTTGGGGTAGACGAGAAGGACGCGGTTGGGGTTCGCGCAAGATGAGAAGGGAAACGCGGAGGTTTAGCGCCACAGGCGCCTTGGCGTGGAAGGCCCGGATGCGAAAGGAGGTGCTCATGTCCGCACACTCTTCTGTGCACTACCATCACTTACGGGCCGCCACTCATCAGCATCGCGAAGCGCTTGTAACTGTTGTCTCCGCAGTTGTGCATTGCGTTGTCATGACCCTTCACGACGTTCGACAACGCGTCCTGAAGCCAGCATAAGCCTGTAATAGGTGGTTTCTTTCTACCACATGCATTTGTAGTACTCGAAGACCTCAGTACTGATGATCACACAGACTCGAAACAACGCTTGCAATCTCCAATTTCTTTCCTCTTGTCGTTTTGTCATACTGGACACGTCCAGTGCATGGCAGCGTATCGTTACGTAGAAGGGTTGCCACGATCGGTACTCACAAACACGACCAGTACAGCAGCGAATCTGATAATGTCAGTCGACTGCCACTTCTTCAAGCTCATGATACGTACGCGGATGTCACGGCAAATACCTCAGCTCGCTTGGCATTGGCAAAGAACGTCAAACAGAAGCTCATTCCCACATTGAAGGCTGCGATCGTCCACAGCTTCGCTTTGAGTGACTCAAGCTGGATCAACACAAGAATAGATGCAATAGGTAGCATGGCTGCGATCATGGAAGTGACCCAAAGTGTGATCTTTACCACGGTAGTATCGTAGTACACTTTTCGACCAAGATGGTGATCTCCCTTGGTGAAGACACCCATGCCGTACTTGAAGAGATATATTGCGCGCTCGGAAACCACACGAGAAAACTTGTCAGGAATATCACGCGGATGGACGCAGACAATATCAGGAGGATGGTTGTCAGCATCGCCTGTTTTACCCCAAATATCTACATCTATGCCGGTCATATGTTCAGGAGCCATATTTTCGCCTTCCAAAAAGCTTTGGAGATCGTGAAGATCAAAACGATCAGGCGCTTTGAGCTGGTGAAGAATCGAGATCTGAATAAGCGCTTTGTCTAATATTTCACAAAATTAGCAACGGTTTCATGTACCGGATGTTATCGTACTTACTGTATTGGTTCAGCTTCTCGTGCATCTTTATAATCAGTTTGAACTGCTCTGACTGCTCTCCATGCGGTTCCTTCAACATGCACTGGTAATCAGTCGCGTACTCAGATCTTTTGCCGCTAGTGCTTTTGTTGTCTTGCTGCTCAAGCCAAAACAAATTCTTTTCCATTGCACACAGCTCGGCCTGGAGATACAACAAATGTCTTGCATTGAGTCCGTCAAATCGACGATAAATGCCGGTTTCAGGCTTGAATGAGATGCGTTCAGATAATCGAGGATAGCCGACGGGGTGGTGCATCCATGCTGGCAGGTAAAGCGGAGCTTTCGTGGAGTCTCTTTTGACTCTTTCTGTGGCTTTCTCTAACATGTTGGTAATTCTTGAAGGAAATTAGTATAAAGGGCACGCTGACGCCTAGCAGCGTGCAGAAAGCGTTGCTTTAAGGATCGCTCTCGAGTTGTACACTGGCGTACCTTGTTACAATTACACTGCGTTCTGTGACTCTGTCTGTGTAAAGCTTCCCCAGCAAGTTGTCGTGCGCCAGTCCCCGGTCGTACCACAGGATTAGATGTTTGCTACAAATCGACAAGCATAGTGCGACCATGATCTGTGGCTGGAGCATGGCGCTTACATTTTGTAACAGCTGCGACCAGGATGTAAAAAATACCCTGAACATGTAATCTTCGCTGTGAGTACGCCTCAAATTATACTTTGGCTCCGACACTAGAGGAATGGCGTTACTTTTGTTTTACGGCAAGTCCGGCAGTCTACGCGCTTAGATCGGTCATGATTCAGGAAGGGTCTAACTCAAACCGGATATAAATTGTATTCTCGGCTCCTCTCGAGATTCAACCTTTATTTACTTATACGCCCATGAAAGCCATAGCCCTATTTTACGTCGAGTCTGCGTCCCAAGACTAGTATATACATATCTGATGCCATTACAGGCAGGCTTCAACATGCGGAAGCAGCAAGAGCATCACCGTATGTAGCATAGATCTAACAGCAACACATTTTACATCGGCGAGGTTAGGCGTCGACTTACAACTCGTTATATTGTGAAATAACTGCCAACTCATGACCACGTCTGGTGGAAGATGTGCGTGTGAAAATGTTGTCGTCCGATGACTTAGAGAAAGCAAGCAGACAGGATATATAATACTCTCATAGCGGTTCCTGAGTACCTGATACCAAATCTACCAGAGACGCAGAAACGAGATATTGCTAGCAATGACATCGTATGGATCGCAGAAGAATATCGGGAAGAAACTATTCCCAAGTAAAGGTCATAGCGGTTCTCGTGAACCCCCTGACAAGCCGGATACACTTGAAAATCTCAAAAGCGCTGAAGATAAGAAAGCAGAAAAGGCAGCTCGGAGGCAATTTAAGATGGTAATCAAACCTGGTTGGAGTTGCGGCGGCATTTCACCCACAGTTGGCCCTTGCCATATCAACTATTGTGGAAATGATCATCCGCTGAATGTACCATGTGTTAGCAACGATTGTGAGCATAATCGATGTGATCGTTGCTGGGAGGCGCGAATCTTTGATTCGGGTGTGGATAAGTCCGCAACCGGTTGGTTCCATTTTCCGTGCGGGACGTATTATGCTGGTATGGACTCACTCAAGCATTGTACAAGCTGCAACCACTCAGCTGCCGGTAATTTCAGGTATGTATGTCTGTCAAGGCCTTCTCTAGACCCAGATTATCGAGGGAGGAAGATAAATAGACGATGTTATTAGCCATGGATGCGAGTTTCAGGAACGGCATTGAGTGCTTAGCTTCTACAAAAATAACTTGTCTCTCAGGAAAACTGTCTTTGTAAATGCATATAACAGTTCACATGATCGTGCATTATAATGTCAGCATGATTCTCGAACTACCTGGTTGTGTTTAAAGTTTGTGAAGATGACATCCCTTGGTTCATAATCTCATGTTTGATCAACGAGCGCTACTTTTACAGCTGCGAATCTGATCAATTACTAGTACTCTTCGTGGACTACAAAACTGCGCACTTACTTTCTGTGTATGTACTCACGTTGTCGACTCATCCTACGCCCACGTAAAGTGACGCTTTGACTACTATGGAGGTATCCTTTAGTCAGGGTACAGATGCCGCCTTGAACGCTGTAGTCTACTTCAACAGTAGAGATGTTTTGGTATAACTTATGCCAATAGTCTCCAAATCATAACAGTTCGGTATGTTTCCAGCTGAGTGCGACCTAGGCATAGGTAAACGAAGAAACACTGGTCCTACGGGTATTTGGAAATACATGATTGATGTAGAGCCTCGAGTGATGAGGCGATGGTCATGCGTGATGTGCATCACCGGCTTGTGTAAACCTACAGTCCCTTGGTTTGGAAGCTGATGACGTCTAGGGCGAGCCGTGGCATATCCATCGGGATTTAGGAATATTGTGGATACCTTTTTGACCAGGTGGAAGTCGCCAACTGTTCTCATTTTTCCCATGAACATTTCCTTCTGATTTGCATATCAATCGCATCGCTCGACGAGCTTGTCAACGCAGAAGCAAGACATTGTTGTAGGAATCGACATCAAAAAGTTAGCAGGGTGTGGTTAGTTTCAATGCAGCATAAGTCATGCGCTGGTGTCGAGTTGAAGGCGTCGTTAATCTTCACGGTTGGGCTTGGGCCTGCCAGCTGAATGAGAAAGTATGTATTAATCGCGAATCTGAAGACCATGTCAAATGGTCCGCTGTCCACGACACCTTTCTATCGAAGGAGAAATCTCTGGAGAAACAAATAAGCATCCTTTTTGACGCATGATCTATCTAGAAGATCTCTTGGTCGTCATACGCCCTCACACTCTCTAGGCGTTCTCTAACCTTCTTCGGATCCTTGCAGACATGCTTACTGTCCCAACCATCACTGCCACCATTGTGGTCGGGAAATGTCGTCTCCAGCCCTTCAAGAGCCATATCCGCGCTACACATGATAGCTTGGCGCATGTAGTCAAAGCAGTGGATCATGTGCCAGTGATGGTCTTCTTCAAGCTCATGACCCGAAGTCATACCGGAATAGACTGC